GTCCCAGCTGTGTCACCAGCAACCTGGATTTAGACTGGATTCTGGTTACCATGAAATAGAACTCAAGAATATTGAATAATAYAAAAATATGTCGCTTTGGTCAACTTGTGTGCTGCCCCAGTTCCTGATTCTGAGCTATATTTTAAGTTCAGCTTTGATGGAAGTGAATCACTAAAAGATTTAAAAAAAAAAATCAGCACATTTGACATAAGGATTTTACCTCATTTTGCTTCTTGAAACTTTCCAATCCCTTCATTCAGGCASAAATAAAAGTCTTCCTTGTTCAATAATGCAAAGGTTTGTTATTATTTTATTATTATTTTCTTGGGCTTTGTGGCATCAGGAAAAAAAATCTGGCTTAAAGAAGCCAGTGAATCCCACAATCTCCTATGCAGATACACAGAAATTTTCAGCTGTCAGCATAACAATTCCTCAAGTTTTTTGAATCCATCCTCCGGCAGTAAAATTCTACCTACTCTTTTATCTATTCTGGATATTTAGACTGAAAATTATTTGAGTGGGAGGCAGCTTGTTCATTTCAAAGAGGATGACAAAGACTTGTTACTCAAAAGCATCTGTGCCTGTTCCATCATTAAAGGTCATTTTCTCTCAGTCAGCTCTCGCACAGAACATGTTCTCCTCTCTTTGCTTTGATACCCTGCAAGCAACAACTCTGCTCATGTCCTTGGGACWCCAGATATCTCCAGAGGAATCCACATGGAAAAGGCAATACCTAGCTCTATTTCCAAAGCTGTTGATTGTGGCTTGGGACATATTAAACCAAGTGCAATAAATCCCTTGTGTAGGTAGCACTGCTCCTCTGTGTCCCTCCCTACTCCTCCCCGGACCTCCCAGAGCTGTTTGGTATCTCTCCCTGATGATTATTGTTTTGACCACTGTTTTCATGCAAGTCATTAAAAACATTCTCTCGTTAGGCTCAGAAACAGAACACCAAAGTGGCTTAAAAACTCACCCACTCCATTYTCTCATTTTATCAAGAGCTTTCCACCTAGTCCAAATGCACAGAAGACATTCTAGCCCATTAACATCCATCAGAGAGCAGTAATGAATTCATCAATATTGCYACAATCCGTGGGCACAGCATTGTGCTGAATCATTTAGTAACTACATCTGCAGCAGGAAGGGCTCACACCACCCTCCTCACACTGCCAGCAACCACCTCCCTGAAAAAGGAAAAAATCAATGTATTGAGATCCCCCTCAGCTSTGTTATCCCTCCTAATGGAGCTGGTGGTGCCTCTCCACACCAGTATTCCCACAACCATCAAATCCTGCCTGGAGTTGTCCCCCCTGGACTCCACCCTCTTTTGCCAAGCCACCTGCTGGCTTGCAAGGAGCTTTCACTGCTCTTTCTTTCTATAAATGAACACAAGGATTTGGCTTTTCCYTGCTTTTTCATCTACATGGCAAATATGCTAAGCCTTAAATTGAGTATTTCATTTGCAAAAGAAAAAAACCAACAAAAACCTTTCAACCCCAGCTTACTGCAATTGTTATTGCCACACACCTAACTGTGATTTTATTTTCGTGTCTATTTACAGAGTTATGGAGGGACAAACTTCTTCCTACCACAGATTTTCCTAACASTGAAAGTTCTATACATAGGAAAAGGTTAAAGTTACCAAAATCAGCCAGTCTTAAAAGAATTACGAAGCAACATGGAAGTTTAGCTACCAAAAAAAACCCAACACATACCTGTGGCTGGAGTACAACAGCATTAGTTACTGTTCTCATAACAAAGGAAAAGGAATTTATTCTTGAAAAAAAAAAATCAGCCTTAATGATATAAACAAAATTATCTTTAAATGTAGATTGGAAACTACTTTGCCTGCTTTGCCTTGCCCAGGGATGCCAAAGCCAGTGGGCTCTGCCTGGCTGCAGTTTTCCATCTCTGTAAGAACCTTCCTTGTGTTTACACTCCCAGTTCTAATGGCACCTCTAATTAACCCCAAGGATAAAGAGGGTTTTGTTAAGGTAGCCCTTACAAAGCAAGTACAGTTAATTCAACTCTCAGCACCTCTGCTGCCTTAACACAGATGATGTCTCAGAACACATACACTCACACATGTGTCTACATATCCTCAACTCCCACGGCTTAATTCAATTAATACTATTAAATCTTTAATGCTTGGCTTCAAAGGCTTTTTTTTTAATTTTTAATAGCTCTCATAGGTTAGCACGAATGTTTTAAGTCTTTCTGCTATATTTTAAATAAACTCCTCTTTTCTTGCTACTTTGATGTTTGCCTTTCTGACAAACCTCTGCTCTGTGAAGCTGCTGCAACTTTGTTTTGTGTGCAATGATGACATTACCAGCTCCAAAAGATATGTTAATCACCGAGCTGGAATCAGGGATTTTTTTAATTCCTCTCACCTGCCCTCTGGGCTGGGAGTTGGCACCAGAACAGCTTTCATCAAAACAATGAAACCCATAAGGAGAGAAGATGCAAGCGATGGGAGGGGGCTCTGATTTGCATCTGTTTAGCATGGAAGCGGCAGGCGGGGCTTAATTCTCTTGTACTCTGCTTTCCCATGAGAGGAGAAATGCCAAAGTCACCATATTTTATTTAAATAGTTGAAATAGGAGTTTTGACAAAAGACCAGTCAAGCTGGATGGAAGAATAAGCCTTGTGGCATCTAAAGGCACATCTGCTTCACACATTTGATGGGTACTGAGTGTGTTTTTGATTATCCCCTTCTCTCACTTCAGCTACCTTGAGACCTCTTCCCATGTTCCAGTGCTCAAATTATAAATTTTGAATTTGTGAGACAAGAGACAAAGCTTTGACAGCACATTTCAGGCTTTCCTATAAAGCATAAATTACAAGAAACAATAAAAGAAAAAAAAAAAAAAAAAAAAAAAAAAAAAAAAAAAAAAAAAAAAAAAAAAAAAAAAAAAAAAAGAGAATTCACTGAGCAGCCTTGATATGAATAAATGAATATTTATATGGA